CTTCCGAGAAGAGCTCGCCCCACCCCGCTCCACGTGGGGGGACTGGCCTAGATGACGTTGTAGCAAAACGAGATTCGTGGTGGCAGCTCTGGGCCAGGGCCTAGCACCCTTCAATATGGACCCCGCGGGGTGTGGAAGCCGCAGTGGACTGGGAGGTGGGGCGGGCGCTGGACCAACTTGCTTGGAAGCCACATTTGCAAAGCGGGCCGCGCCGATTCGCTTTGGTTCCTACAGGACGTAGGAAGGGATGCGCACACCATCACCGCCACCATCACCCCCAAAGCCAGCACTCTGCACTGCCCCTGCCCCCCCCCCCTTTCTGCTGGGCCCCTGAAGCTAAACCCAGCCGGCTGGGGCCAGAAGGTCCGCCCGCTCCCCCCCCCCCCCCCCCTCTTCTCGCGGCTCGCACCCTGTCCTGCCCCTAAACCGCGCCCCGCCCCCAGGCGGCCGGGCCACTCGGTGCGCGGCGCGCAGCTCCTGCAACTCAACCCACCGCCCCGCGCGCCTCCTCCCAGCGCCGCCGCCCCGCACCCCACGCGCTCCCACCCCTCGGCCCCCAGCGTCGCTAATGGACTGTCCCGGAAGGCAGAACACAGCAACCCCGGGACCCATTAGGGGAAGAGGACCTATTCAATTCCTGTAAACAGGAGGTACCATGTAACCAGCATCGAACTTAAAAAATAAACAGCTGGGGCTTTAGACAGGGGGGAAGGAGGCGGTAGAAGCCAGCCAGCAACGAAACGACCCGGGGGATCCAAATTCCCGCTCTCCACACCTCAAGGCCTCAGCTCGGAGCCCTCCTTAGGGTCCAGAGCGCATCGCTTGAGCAGGGTTACTGGACACGCGAGGGGTTATCGAACGAATGCCCTTCACTCTACTCAGAGCCCCAGGATTGTTGCTGATTTGCTCTAGGCCGTCGGATGCACGCAGCAGTCCTGGAGGGAAACAAAAGTCCTCATCCTGCCCTATTTCTACCGAACCCTCTTCCTCCTCTGCCCGTCCTGGTCCCTCTTCCTCTCCCCCCGCCGCTCCGGCAAGACATCGCCAACATCAAAGAGGCGTGCCACCACCAGAACCCGGAGAACTCCGGCTGGAGAAAAAACGGGGTGCGCTAGGGCCTCTGCCAATGCATCGCCCCACGTCCCCCGGGGTCCTGACCGCACGCACCCTCTCCTGTCCCCTAGAGGAGCTTTCATTTCTGGGTTCGGTGTTCTGGTAAAGGCATTCCCACGGCCTGTCATGGGCTGTGGCTTAGGTCATTTTGTTTTAAAGTGTGCAGAAATGACACAACTCTAGGGAGCAGACTCCCCGGGCCAGGGAGCCGCCCGCGTGGGGGACACGCTCCTTGTCCTGGGATTAGCCTATTAGCCTCTCCGGTTCAGGAAGGTCGCCCAGAACTCCCTCGCCGGCTTGCATTCTGGCTGCAGAGGCCGTAGGTGTCCCTAGCTTCTAGCTAAAGGCGGACCTCGTCGGGGTCGCCTAAGGAGTCCTCAAGGCCTCAGGGATGCGCGTGACAATAACTGATGTTGAACCACAAGCCAATCAATGGCTACGGGTTTGGTTGGGGCCTTAGCGTTTTAATCATTCCAACCAGAAGTTCAGAACAAACTTGTGGTTTAAGACTTCCTTCCCTGACTCCCGGACGTTTTCCCAGGACTTCCCGGTTCCTCGGCAGGAGGAGGGTCCGGGACCTGCTGGGAAACGCACACCCCGCGCCGGCGCTGACGCGGGCGCGCGCACAGACACGCACACACTCGGACGCTCAGCAACCCTTTACCAAAGCCGTTCCCTCTTTCCGGGGAAATAAAAGCCTAGATTGGAACCTTCTGCCGGCTTCCTCGCTTGGCCGTCTGGTCTGCATTAGTGTTTTTATAAGGGACTCAAACAAATCGAATACAAGGTCACCAAATAATTAACAGTTGTGAATTCCCTCCGTCCCCATTAAAATACTTCCCCGCTTATATTTCATTTTCCGTTTGCCAACGACAACAGGGTCCGGGCAAAAGCGCTGCTGCGCGGATTACAAAAGCGCTCTGCGGCCCAGGTCCTCCCAGAAATTCGCTGTTAATGCGCTGTTTTGCATAAACTTGCTGTCCCGGGCGAACCTCAACCGTGAAGGAACTCTGCGGCCCCGTAGAATGCCCTCCCCGCAGCACTGCGACCCTGCAACGGGCCGGCCCTGCCCCCAGAGAATCACCGCCCAGAAGGTAAACCAAGAAGCCAGCAAACAATCAGCTTCAAACTCTCCTGAGATTCACGTCTAGGGTGTCGAGTTCTCCAAGGATGTTCCTCCGATCTCGTTTTGGGTTTTATCTGTTCCCTACTGCCTCCTTTTTGAGCGCACTATCCTGACAACAACCAACAAGACTTCTAAAGCGTGTTCTTTCAAAATCACCTGGAAACCTAAGTCGCAGCCATAGTCTTAGCCTCGTTTTGGTGTCCTCATCCTTGGGAAGTGTGCTTGCCCCCCTTGTTGGAATTGTGTGGCACTTCTCACGACATAACTGAACGTCCAGTTTTGTTTCTCTCCCTCCC